AGAGAGAAGAGAGAAGAGAGAAGAAAGAATAAAGAATAAAGAATAAAATAAAATATTTTAAAGAGAAAATATGCTGGACTTAAAGACTTGCAAATTTTTACCACACCTTGATTGTGGGCTGCCATTGTTACGACACCTTGTGGTTCTGTAATTTCTCCTTTTTATTAATTAAAGTAAACCACTTTTAAAAAAAGTCGTAGCAATGATATGCTGGACTTAAAGACTCTTGCAAATCAAATTTCCTATATCAAACAACACAAATTTTTCTCTTTCGATAGATAAACGTTCAAACCATGATGTTAAGGATTCCATCATTTTCATTTGCAAGTTAAAAAAAGTTATAACCATCAAAATTATGCGATTCTTATAGAAAAGAAAATGACATTACCAAATTTGATGAGCATTCATGACACATGTGATACCACTATAGCTTAGGATCCAAATCCATTGTCTGGCACAACTATTACAGATGCTTAACAATCACGGTTCCTTCTTGGAATTTGGCGATATCTTAAAACAATAATTTAATAATCAACCTCTTCTTGTGTGTTTAGTTGCCGTTGTCATAATTATTGTCGTCACCAGCATGCCCTTCTCATCCTTGCCACCCGCTACGAGCTGGCATCCCCCCACTTTCTCTTCCTTATTCTTCAATGGTCCGCTCCAATCCATCTCAGATAATCCCCCTCGAGTATTTCAAAACTTAAATAATTCCCCTCTTTGAAAAAATCCATGCCTTATATGCTAAACAGGTGTATAGTCTTCATGCTTTTCCACTATAGCTGCCTACATGCACAGATTTATGAATTTTTAGGTGCACAAATGCAAGTCAAATAATGAAATGTACAATAAAATATTCAAATTAGTAGCATGTGCAAAAGTAATGTCTAGGTTTTGGAATAGCACCTCACTGAATTTCTCATTTCATTGGGTAAATCTTTCATACTGCTAGATTTGATCCATACATTGTAGCTTTATTATTCGATCATGTTTATCAGTAGAATGTTGAGGGTACACCTGGGTGAATTTGGGAAAGAATAAAAAAAGAATCTATTCTTCTGCATTGCAAGCCTGTCCTCCTTCCTTAGATTGCTAACTTGGCACCATGAATCCTCATACTTATTGTTGGTAACTTTGGGATCTGAATGGATAATGTTTGTTGAGCTTAATCTGGATGGATATCCTGATGGTATCAGTCTAATCGAATTTGTGCTACATGCTATCAGTTCGAGGTTTAAAGCTTCATCGAGTGCATGGGTCTTGTCATATGACGCATAGGATTAATTTTATGCTGAAAATATATCTTATACGAGCTTATAGCATATAAATTTTCTCTAAATAGTATTATGCAGTTTCATTTTTTGATGCTTTGTATTATCTTTTTCGTTTTAATATTTGGATTTTTTTTGGTTTTTAAAATTCTGATTGCTTTGTTTGTCTTCTTAGTGGCAACAAATGGACATTGAGTATACATTCTGGCAAATGCTTCATCTATGCACCTCACCAAAAGTTGTGTATGTATCATTACCTTATTCCTGTTATTCCCTCTTGGCCAATATATTGAGTTCTTGACGTATGCACATAATCATTTGCTGCCTATTCAAGGTAGATGTCAGCATTTCTTACCTTGTTGTTTATTTCGACTGGTTCTTGGTCCTTAAATGACTAATGAGGTGAATTGGCATGATTCTCAACGTGATCTTTTGATATTGTTGTGGTTCTAGGATACAAAAATTTGCTTTTGGCTTCTTGTGTTTGATTTTCAGATTGTAATCTACTGCTCTTTGTTCTTGCATGTGGGATCAAATCAATGGAAACAGCTATCAACACACAAAATATCATAAACGTAAGTCGAAATGATTTTATTTGATCAACACTTGAAATTAATTCACTTTTATATTTAAGGATTTGTATACAATGAGACCATTTATCTTTGGTACAAGGAGATCACAATTACTCATAACCTTCTGATGTGAAATCTGATTGCTTGGATATGGCACAAAGTTCAAAAAAATTTCTTTTGAACTTTGAGCTTGGTCCATGGAATAAATGCAGCCACCCAATTCCATATCCAATGGTCAAGATCAATTGTGACCACCTTGTACCAAAAGTAAATGGTCTCATTATATACTTTTCCTATATTTAATTAGTTGTTTGATTCTAATACCAGTTATTTTTTAACGGGGACTAACTGCTTAATCTTTTCTTGTTTCTTCAGAACCTTTTGTTATATGTTTCATTACATTCCTTATTTCTGTCAAACTTTTAGTCCCTATTGAATAATTTCCCGATCCATCTTATACAATTTACACGTTATCCATATTGCGAGATGCAATTTGCAAAAGTGACCCTCTCCTTTTTTTCGCCAATGATTAGTTTAGCATACACAAGCATTCACTGTTTGATTCTCAAACTATCCCCTCTCTCCTCTTTTCCATTCTCATGGGCATGTGAACTATCTGAGACAGTTATATATTTTGTGATTTACCCATAAAAAGTTAGATTTTATGAATCAAAACTCTGGGCATTAGATGGAGAAGCCTCTACATTGTTGTTATGTTCAGAAAGACATTTGTAATGTGGGGCAAAAATGAATTTTTGTAGAATAATATGGGAGCCAACATTTCAAACTCCACTGCATTTTCGGTGCTTTAGCTGGAGAGTGATGATCATTAATCCATATATTGCTAATAAAAAACATATCAATGTTTAGGCGAGACAGAGAAAAGATGTTTGCCATCTGCTTCTCCCCTGATGTTGCTGGTATTAATAGTTTAGATACCATCATTCCCTTGACAGTTTGAGAATCAATTCATATGTTTATTTGTTCTAAGAAGACATCTATTCAAGACATTATGGATGCCAAACTGCTTGTCACAGGACCTAGAGGACATTGGAAGGTCCTTCCATTGTGGTAAGTTTCAGATTACATTATGTTTTCTTTTCCGCTAAATAATCCTTTTCTAGAACGTAGTTTGGATATCCCGGCATCTTAGTTTGTGAAATGGCTTAACCTTTCAAAAGAGCAAATCAGCGTGTCTAAACAGAGGGCTCAACAATCTGATTAGTCCTCTGGATGAAAAAACATTGGAGATTCCATCTTTGTTGACAATGTGATGGCTATGTCCTCTCAATTATTTTGTGTTGTGCTGATTGAGAGTACTCAGTTTTTGCAATATTTGACCCAGAGATTAAATTGTGGGTTAGTCAAGTCCATGACAAGTTTTATTTGTTATGTGAAGCTCGCTGAAGCACTTAGGTATTATCTTACTTTTTCTGCTCTAAATTTGAGAAATAATTGCATATATCATCACCATTTGATCTTCCAAGGATGTAAGAAGCTGCTCTATTCTATAAAATCAAGATAAGCTGCTTGGAAAAAGTTGAGAGAAAAGGTACCGCAAGGAGGGTTTTAAAAGGAGTTGACTTTTCAGTTGGGGATTAGATAGGATGTTTTATGGCGGTTGCAAATAGGTATTACTTAAGGATCTATGGACAGCTTAACAACTTTACATAACAACTTTATAAAAGGAAAAAACTTGTTTGTTAATGGGGAGAAACAAGTAGTTTTTGTTGCAAGGTTAGGGACATTTTGGCAGTGTTTTGTTAATAATCAGGTTACAAAGGGGTGGTGCAAATGAACGGTAGAGTGGACTGAGCTGCACCTTGCTTCACTACTAGATGGGTGGAGGGATAAAATGGCCCTGTTCGTATAACTGGGTTTGCCCAATGGGGCTATAAGGGTGTTTGGCTGAGGGAAAGTATGTTTTGAAGGAAACTTGCTGGATAGTGAGGGAAAATATGTTGCGAAGGAAACTTGCTGGATAGTGAGGGAAATTGTTTGGGATGGGGGAGTTCGACATGGTAGATGAGCTATATTCAAGACATAAATTTATTTATTAGCTACCGAAGATTTACTATTTTTTCTCTGTTAGGGTGAATTTGTGACTCCTATAGTCCATTTAATTATTAGATAGATTTTTTTGGATGTGTATGTAAGTGGCATATGTAATATGCCATTTACATATTGCATACATACATGCATGTGTTCACACAACTAATAATGTATATTGCATTGTTAAAAAAAACGGACCACCCAGCGCCTAGGCGACCAAACTGGGCGGTGTTCCCTGGGCGGGCCACCTAGGCAGTACGGAACCCGCCTAGGCGCCCAGCCCTGGGCGGCCGCCCAGGGCCTGCACCCCTCCTAGAGGCGGGAAAGTAAATTTTTTTTTGTTTTCATTTTTTTCAAGATATAAAAGTTTAGAACGATGAGTTTTAGGTTCATTTGAAACCTAAACTCACAAGAACCCCTTTTAGAGAGAAAGAACCTCAAAAGTTTGGAGTTCAAGCAACCAAAGTAAGTGCAAAGCTTTATTTTTTAAATTGCTTGTTTTATTTTGAGATGTCTTTTTCAGGATTTAGTCGGAGTGGAGATCCGAGTTGGAAATATGGATACAACCTGAATCCAAATGACAAAAATTGCGTTAAATGCAATTTTTGTGAAAAAGATACAAAATGATGCATAAACCGGTTTAAGAAACATCTTGCCGGTATTAAGGGGGATGTTGCCCCTTGTAAAAATGTTCCTGAAGCTATCAGAGAGGAGATTAAGCAATATATAAGTTCTGTAAAACAAAAACATGAACAAAATCCTTGTCATAGATCTATTTCTGCTACTTTTAGAAGAAGTGATCTGGGTTGGAAGTATGGGTATAACCCAAAACCAAATGATAAAAAATGTATAAGGTGTAATTTTTGTGAAAATGATGCCAATGGGGGTATTAACTGATTCAAAAAACACCTTGCTGGTGTTAGAGGTAATGTTGCTTCTTGTACAAAGGTTCCTGACGCAGTTCGGGATGAGATTAGACATCTTCTGAATTTAGAAGAACCAGAAAAGGATGAAAATAAGCCTTGTTCTATTGAAGAATCTTCTCCAGGTTCTAGTCGGATCGGTGATCTGGGTTGAAAGTATGGTTATAACCCGAATCCAAATGATAAAAATCGTATTAAATGTAATTATTGTAAAAAGGATACTAATGTGGGCATTTACCAGTTTAAAAAACATCTTGCCGATATTAAGGGGGATGTTGCCTTGTGTAAAAATGTTCCTGAGGCTACCTGGAGGAATTATACAATATTTGAGTTCAGAGAAGCACAAAGAAAAGGGTAGAGCAGCGAAGACTCCTAGAGCCTCATCTGCACAGACTGCACATACTAGTAAGGGGAAGGGTAGAAGAAGAGGAGGAAGAGGTAGATTCAGAAGAAACAGAGGAGGACGAGCGTTATATTGAAGAGGGAGATGACTCTGATGATGATGGCCTCGACTCTGATGCATATGATGAGGCTTGCCCTATTGATATTCCTTTTGATGATGATGATGAATGATGATGACGATTGAAGACTCTTGCCTCTTGGTGCTGAGTGTTGAGTCTTGACTATTGTGTTGAGTCATGAGTGTTGACTTTTGTTAGACTGTATATTTTTTAAATTTTTGTATATTTCTATTGTGTTGATTGTTGACTTTTATATCCTACACACTTGTATGGTTTTACAGTTTACTGTTTTAACAATATGTATTATCAAAATTCTCTTCTCGACGTCTATTTTTTTTTTTTTTTTCAACTTGGATTTAGAATATTGTATATTGGTAATTTGGTATAATGGTATATTTTTTTCAACTGGGCTGCCGCTTAGGTTCTGAGCAGCCTGGACCCCCCAGGCTGCCTAGGACCTGCATAGCACTTTTTGATACACTGGTATATTGGTATTGAGGGGGCATGGTAAATAGAGCTTGGTATTGAGTTGGCATCCCGCCATTGTATAGAGACATTGTTAGTGATGTTTTTATTACAATGAACCGTGTATTTTATGTTAGATCCAACAAATAAGCAACTTGTCGTTGCCACACCTTAGAATAGAGCTTTAGTAACCAGATATACTCACTGGGCGGGTTGACCTACAAACAAGTGCAAATTCTGATTGAAAAATAATTATTGGTCTATTGCCGTGGATGATTATCTATATCAGTTTGATATTGAATTGTGTTGTACATTGTTTGCTCTATATTGTAGATGGTACATTTGTAAATTATATCTTTTGTAAGGACTATCTTCTGACACTTGGATAACTTATATATTGGCTCGTTAGATTCCCTGCATATACAAACCTAGGTGATTATGCCAAACCTTGGTTATGCCAAGATCTGGTAACTGGGATTGAGCTGTTTGGAGAGCTTCTAGTTGGAACCAAGGTTTTGCAAATCCCCTATTTGGGTCATTTGTTTGCAAAACCTGGGTTCATTTAATCCATGTTCATGTTATGAAGGGGAATTTATTATAATTTTTCTTCAGTTATTTCAGAATTTAGTTATTATTTATTATTAGTAAAACGAAAAAAGGCTTTTCCAAAGCATCTGGAGTTATACTTTCTCTGAAGACCATATGTTAATATGTAATTATGAAAATTTTAAGGGAAAAATGATTTTGATTTTGGAGTATATATTCTAGACAGAAAATGTCCAATATATATATATATATATATATATTTGATAGTCATATATGTTAAAGTCCAATCCTTCTCCTCCTCCTCATCATCGTGATCCGAGCCTTATCCCAACTACATATATCAAAATCTAATCTGAATCCAAAATCACATATAATTCATGGACCAACTACACCACCATCCAAACAGTCTCATCCAGTGCAAGCAACTGATGTGGTGCATTGATGCCATGATTTAAACATTGACCAATCACTCAATTTATACAATATGAACTATTGACAATCATCACATCCTCATTGAAAAAATGCAATCAATGTTTTTAGAATCACCTGGGGCTAG